GGAATTGTAGATTTGCTGCCCACCAGTAAAGTGAAGAGGTCACTGAACTCCTTCCACTGTGAAGGATTGCCATCAAAAGGCTTGATGTCCAGTCTCTTCAGCTGATCGTGGTGTTGAGGACTCGGTGGTGTACTGGGTGGCTGAGCTTTCTTAGCTAGTTGACCCCTCAACCTGCTGATGAGCCTGACGCATTGCTTCCTGGTGGTGGCTGCCTGCTCGAATACCCCGTTCGCGAGATACGGATGATCGTGTGGAATGGACTCGATCAGGCTCCTGGAATTGTAGATTTGCTGCCCACCAGTAAAGTGAAGAGGTCACTGAACTCCTTCCACTGTGAAGGATTGCCATCAAAAGGCTTGATGTCCAGTCTCTTCAGCTGATCGTGGTGTTGAGGACTCGGTGGTGTACTGGGTGGCTGAGCTTTCTTAGCTAGTTGACCCCTCAACCTGCTGATGAGCCTGACGCATTGCTTCCTGGTGGTGGCTGCCTGCTCGAATACCCCGTTCGCGAGATACGGATGATCGTGTGGAATGGACTCGATCAGGCTCCTCTGGATGGTGAGTAATTCTGCCCATTCGGAATCCAGGATCCTATCGTGGCCGTCCAAATCCTCGGAGGTGACATCCTCGTCGGTCATGATGACCTGCGGAATTCCAGGTGGTGAGTTTACTGCGCTCGTGGATGGGTTAATTTCCTCCTTACTGTCCTGCAATTCTTGTTCAATTACTGTTTCGGAGCCTGACATGGTGATGTACTGTTTTGTTTACAACCTGTCAGATCCCTTGGTAAATGAGTACGAGAGTTTCTACTTTACCGACCGCCTGCGGTTTACCACTCGGTGAGTTGCTGTGCTGCGTCGGTAACTGGTCGATTCTGCTGCTGTGAGGCGCCGCCTGTTGCTGGGCGCTGGGCCCGCGCTGAGACTGTTCGGCAACACTCGGTGATTCTCGCTGACTCTCGACTCTACGGCACGTTGAGGCACTGGAGGACAATGGTGTTTATACTTCTATTATCCGGAGAATATAAACACTGGCACAAACACGTCTGAATTTCTCCGTTGAGTTTCTGATGTAAACCCCGAATGTCCGCGTGGGTTTTTCACTGCACTGAATGATTTCACACTACCGATTCCCGAATCCGGCTCGAAGGACCATGTGTTTGGAGGGAAAACGGAATTTAGTGGATTGGGAAAGGGGTAGTGGAAATGCCGGTGAAAAATGAACGCACTGAGTCTATAAAAAATATACTGATTTATTCGGTGGAATCGAACCACCTTAGCGTCACTTGTTACACTCTGTTAATTGTCACTGAAATTAATTCAAACTGTTCTGAATTTAACACTGGAGATTTTCTGAATAATATACTGAATAATAGGAGACTGTACTGAGAATTTAAATAGGAGATGTACTGAGAAACCAAAATGTCTCGAACGGGTGATGTACTGACGCTGTTCGGACAACCGAAAGTAGCTTTAGAAAAACGATATACTGCTCGCCCAACTCATTTGCTACGACTCTCTACGACTGACTGAGATTCGGTGATTGACTAGGCCTGACCGTTGACCCGAGGTTTCCCGAAGATTTTCGTAAGTGGCCGATCTGTGGTCAACCGTTGATGTACTGAATTTTAACTGCGTTTCAAACATGTTTTTTGCCATTTTTTGCTAGGAGTAAATAGCCCTCGAGATAATTAAAGAGTTAAATTGAAAGGATGAAACCAGTGGGTTTTGAAATTGATTAAAGCGTGTTTGTTCATTTCGCAATTATCTCGATAACGACTGGTTTCAAGGGAAAATGTGTTACAACCTTTTTTGTAGCTAAGAAAATTTCCTACTAAAAACCCATTTAATATTTTTTACTGGGAGCACTAATTCTCGAGATAATTGGAGTTGAATTGAGAGAATAAAACTAGTGGATTTTGAAATCGATTAAAACGTGTTTGATAATTACACGATTAGCTCCATAACGAGTAGAACCGTTCTACGAAAAAATATCTTCAGATATTGTTTGAGATTGAAGCTAACTTGAGATGCCGGTTGGGAAAAAAGTGGAATTGTGGAAGGAGGTGGAAAATTAAAACACGCGGAATTATAAAACCACACTGTTGATGTACTTTATTGTGGAATAACCCACGCGTCTTGATAAATTAATATTATTACACTGTTGAGTTGCTCGACAAGTCAATAAAAATGATTATTTGAAAAATGCACTGCACTTGAGGTTCTTTCGATATTGAACTTGATAATTGACTCAAATAATTGATAATTAACTCGGAATGAATTGATAATTGAATTGAGTTAAATAGAGACGCTGTACGAAGCGCTAGACTTAAATATATCGCGTCGATGTACTCCGGTGATGTACTCGATAGAGCGGTTATGGCGATACAATATTGCGATTAGAGTGACTCTCTCGGTGGCTAGAACGATACTACTTCTTTTCGGTTATTTTCTTCGTAGCTGACCGTGATCCCGACGGGTCCCGAAGTTTCTCGAGAATTTCGTTGAGCCCGGTGACCGTTTGACTAGTTTGAATAGCTGAATTTCAAACAGATATTTTTTATAGTTGAGAAAATTACCCACAAAAAATTATTTGACATTTTTCTTTTCAAACAATTGTTCTCGAGATAATTAAAGCTTCCATACAGACTGTTTCTTGTTTTCAGAAGAAATTTTGTTTCACTTATTAATTACATGTAAAGTCACCCATCATGGAGTTTAAGATTTTAAACATCTGAGAAAAGTAAAATCAATGATTGGGATTGAATTGAGGCCTTGGAGTAATATCAGGGTTTTGTGATTGTGTCGAGTCTTTAGAAGATAAATCTTTGAAAAATTGAAAGAGATGAGATGAATACGAGAGGAGGTAAATCAAGTAGGGGTTCAAGTCGGCCAGGACGTGCGATTAAAAGAAACTGGATTCGATGGTTGAAACTTCAAGGATTTTTCTTTGAAAGTTCAACTGATTCTTCAGTTTTGAACGATAAAAATTGATGAAAAATGTGGCAAAAAAGAAAAAAATTATGAAATGAAAAAAATCAGTCCGAAGTTCATTTACCATTCTACTCATTTTTTGTAGTCGATTTTTAAGAAGAAAATTTAATCATTCCCAGGTTCACGTCGCTCATCAATCTTTCTTTCATGATTTAACCGTTTAATTAATTGAATTGTTAATTCATGACTGAAAGGGGCAGACAATTATTGCATAATTCGATTATTTGGAATTAAAAATTGTTTTTGGAGAGTTAAATATTGATTGTGATTCATGAAATTCATAGGCTCGTCTTGAGAACGTCGTTTATTAATCAAATAACTGAATGAGTGGAATAAAACGTTAAATTGCACGTTTCAATTCATTTAATTGAATTCAAATGAAAAACAATAAAATAAAAAATGATTTGAAGTTAATAATACAGAGCAAAACCATTTCAAAACGATTTATTAATCGATTGAATCGAGATTGAAAAATATCAAACTATAAAAAATTCTAAAGAATGAGTTTTTGCACATCTTCATCAATTTTTTGCTCGAAAAATTAATAAATTCCGTCAAAAAAAGTTCGAAAAAATTCTTCTGGGAGAAAATCCACAATTAAACTCCAAAAATTCAAGAAATATTTTTTCCGATAAATAATTTTGAGATGTGCAAATTCAATCTTCGAGAATTCACTGTCAAATTTGATCAATGAGATTTTCGTCCATATCTCAATAAAAATAATTTTTTAGTTTTCAGAGTCCCACGTGAGAAAATATATTTTTTAATTATTTCTATGAGAAATAATTAGTATTATGGTTTTTTTCATTTGGGAAGTAATTATTGGAAAAATTTTTAATTACAGGTCAGTAAACAACTACTTGTGATTGACTCAAGAGTCACTCGTCCCCCAATGACTCGGTGAAAACCAATTGGAGTATTTCACGTCCTGCAAGAGATGAGCTTCTTCTGGAGGGATGCTTTATTAATGAGTATTTCGAGTTGTTTCCTTGTCTGAAACACTCATTGGGAGCTGAATTGGGAAAATAGTCCACTTAGAAAACTCATAAAATACAGTGCAGTAACATTAATAAGTTGATAATTAATTAAAATAAATTTATTCTAGTTGTCTTCAGACTTCGAAGTACTGCATGGTCGTGGTCGAACCAATACATTTTTTGCTCGGTGGGAACTTGTGAGAGATCACATTGGAACGTTGTTAGGCAATTGTCAAAGCCTCATATCTGCTCATAGGACATCTATTCACAGTTTCCAGACACACTAGCACTTCGTAAGTAGATTTTTTTTCTATTGGTAGACTCAACTTTGGAATAATAATCTAAAAATTTCTCCAAAACCGTTCAACTTTTTTTAGGTGGTAAAGATATTATTCTTCTTTACTTTTTGCCTTATTTGATTACACCTCCACAACAGCAACGTAAACTGGGTAAAACAGTTCCAAAGGTTTCGCACCAGCAGAAGCGCGATGGATTTATTCTGCACGTGGAGGTAAGACGAATTGTTGTTGACAAACATGAAATGTTCTCATTGAATTCTACAATAATTTATTATGTGTAGACGGCAGGAGAAATACTTCCATCTCTTGAACGTCAACGACTACTCCTCACTGTAGTTCATCTTTCCCTTCAACCACTTGTCGTTTTAGTCAGTCCCCTGGAGAGTCTAGAATGAGTCTACGTGTATGTTAATGACTCAGTAGAGCGATCAACAATTTATGAAGTAGATTCTATTCTACATGGAATTGATTTCACCTTCAAACTTTTCTTTGCTCTCCGCTGTGAGTATCCAGTTCGCGCATCCTGTGTATGGGCATTCATCCAGAGAGCATTCTACAATATCCAGCTTCTAAAAGACAAATTCAGCAGACCCACAGAGGTACTTTTGGGTCAGGTGAAAAACTGGACTACTGTCCAGGATGAAAATATTCCACCAAATAAATAAAACAGCATTGTAACGTCATTATCAACATGTTTAGCTATGTATCCTGTGGATTAGATATTGAGGAACCAAATAAATATCTATATCACATCCAATATGGTCATGGTATTTTACAAAAATATCCATGTGGAATAAAATCTTGCACAAAGACTTTCACAACGATAGGGTCACTAAGATCCCGCGTTTATAGCAAGCATAATGAGGTGAACACAGTTCAAGGGAGAATAATCCAGAATAGTCGCATCTGAATCAGAATAGGCATCTGTTAATATCGATCATGATGTACTAGTTGTACTCGAAACCTGGACTGGAAGAGCTGAGGAGGAACTTATCCCGCAGGATAGTACTCTCAGCGATCGTGGGAATGAGTGCACAACAAATGATACTTGTGGAACTAGCTCAAAAATTGATTCTGCTGTGATGCTTGCAGCCAAATTTTATGATTATTCAGATATCTCTAGAGTAAGAACAAACCAGATCATTAGTGAAACTGTCAAATTCATAGAGGAAGTAGTTGACAAACTAAAAAATTCTATATTACAATCAATCAATGGTGGGGTAGTCTAGGTAGAGGCTCTACAAACAATTTTTGAAGAGCATAAAGATCCGTTTGCTCGTTTAACAATAGAATACCTCAGTTTCGAGACTTTCAAACAACATAAAACATTCATTCCTCCGCAATCATATTTACTCGGTGGTAGGCCCACGAGGGTAATCAAGAGATGGACATAATCCCAGTGACTGCTCAGTTCATACCACTTCGCATGGTATTTCATAATTTTTTCGAACTGCCAGGCGTATTATTGAAAACGCTAGAGTATATGAAAACAGTACAGGCCCAAACAGGAATAATTTCAAATTTCATACAAGGGGAGTTATGGAAACATTTGAGTGCCAATGATGGGGATAAGATAGTGTTACCATTAATCATATATTTTGATGATGACGAGAACAATAATCCTCTGGGTAGTCACAAGGGTATTTCCAAATGTAGCGCAATTTACGCTTTAATTCCTTGCCTACCACCTTATTTGTCTTCAAAACTGGAGAATATTTTTCTTTTCGTCCTGTTTAATACTCTTGATCGCCAATATTTCAAGCATGACGTAATTTTTTCGAAGATCAAGGATGAATTATTGTTTTTTGCAGCATGAGGGTATTACGATTGCTAGTCCAACGGGTTTCGAAACTATTTTCTTCAGAATGGCGTTGATTTCCGGGGATAATTTGGGTTTAAGTTATATGTTAGGGTTTCAGGAACACTTTGGCCACGGAAAAATATGTAGAGTCTGTCTTATTAGTAAAGAAGATATAAATAATCTTTTCCAGGAGAGAGACTGTGACTTACGTTTGAAGGACAACTACGAATCAGATTTAAAAAAAGATGATAGAAAGAGCACAGGACTGACAGGAAAATGTGTATTTCTTGGTGTAGGAGGATTCCACCCTCTGGTTAATTTATACACTGATGTTGTTTATGACTGGCTAGAGGGAACGAATAGATATGATTTAGGACTTATTCTCCATTATTTTATTAAAAAGAAGAAATATTGCACCCTAAAGGACTTAAAACATCGCATTCGAGGTTTCAACCATGGCTCTCTGAAAAACAAGCCCCTTGAAATTTTTGAAAGTCACATAAGTGGAAAAAAAATAAAGATTTCAGCTGCTGAAATGCTCTGCTTAGTACTTTATCTGCCTCTTATCATAGGGCATTTATATTAATATTCTCATGAGTTACGATCTCCCCACTGATGGATCTCATGAGATTCTTGAGGTGAAGATAAGTCAATATCTGAGGCTTCTAATATCCCTTTTTCCTCAATCGCGGAAATCCAAACATCATTTTTTATTGCATTATGCGAGAGTATTGTTGCTTTGCGGATCTTTATGGAAAATATGTACAATACGCTGCGAGGGAAAACACCGAGAAGGTAAGATTACCTCTCGGTCTGCCATCAGCAGGGTGAACTTATACAAAACCACGCAATAAAGCACCAGCTCCAATTGAATTATCGTTTTTTGCGGCAGCAAAACGACGTTGAACTGACTTATGATAAAGAATCAATGAAAAAAATTGAACTATTGTACTTGAATGGAATTCATGATATTCAAGACTCGGTTCATTTCTGTAACAAATCATTGAATACGACAGTTACAACAATAAAAAGAATTGAATTCAACGAGATTGAGATTAAAATTAAAGACCTGATTATGATCCCAAATGAAGATGGCCCAGTGTTTTTCCACGTTGAACACATCATCATGTTTGAAGAAAAAAAATCAATGTTTCTTTATCGTTAAACACTTGCATAATGTTTTTTTGGAGCAAAATCGATGATTCTCTTTAATCGTGATTTTCAGTTACTTCTCCAATTTCAGTCATTGCAAATCGAATATTGCAGTTAATCAAACAATCATTACGAAATCTATTAATTATGTGTATTAATTTTTTATGTCAATAACACGTGGTTTCAGGGGGAAATATCGACAGACATTTTTCATTGGAAATTGAATTAAATATAAGGTAATTGATAATAATAGTATCTTTATAGAGTTCCAATGATTTTTTTTCAGCGAAAGCGTTATTTCCTCCTATTAATTTGCTCATATGGCCAAGGAAATGGTTTATTTGAATTAATTAAATTTTATTGAAGGTTTTTTTTCAAACTCAAACTTGATCTTTATTTGTTTTTTTTTTATTCACACGCGAGGAATTATCAATTTCATTCTAATGGAGGATTCACTTGGAATTGATGAATTGTTCATGTCAGATAATTGAAACATTTTTATTCAAATGAATATGAGGGTTTATTGATTTTCAATAAAAAAATTGGTCAAATGTATATAAAAAAACGTCAAATGAGCAGTTTTATTTGACTTGAATCATTCCCCTGGGTGCTTGTTTTCGAAATGAATTTGTAATTAACAAAGTTGCAAAATTTTCAATAACCCAAAAAACAGAGGAACACAAAAAATAAAATAGGAGAATTAATTTCCAAGAATTTCTACACTGCTTAAAATTTTTTTGCTGAAATTTCCGGTATACTACCTTTTGGAAATTTTCATTGAGTGACAGTTCCACTGAAATTTCAAGGAATTTCATAATTGAAAATTCATAATTCCATAAAAAAATCAATGGAAACTGTAAATTTCACATATTTTCATCTAGATTATCCATCGTTAATTCATCGTTGATATAACTATTTAATAACTGAAATACAATTTGAGTTGATTTTGGAGCAAAATCGAAAATTCTTTTTAATCGTGATATTCCGTTACTTCTTCGATTTCAATCATTGCAAATCGAATATTGAAATGAATCAAGCAATCATTACGAAATCTATTCATAGGCAGTGAAACAATACAAACTTAGATATTGAAAATACATAACCAAAAAAAAACTTTTCGGAGTAAATAATTTTTCGTGTCGAGGGACATGAAATTAATTTGACTTTGTCAATTACGTGGCGCTGCGCTCCACGAAATTTGCATTTTTCAGGTCCCTCGACACGAAAATTAATACCGTGAGTGTCCCAGTCATGGAACAGGTCCCCTTCGTTGAACGCAGACCGCTCTGGCGATGAAATTTCATATTTCTCAAATTCCCTAGTCATCAGCGTCCATTATTTTTTTTGTCACCGGATAGTAAAGTATTTCCTCAATAAGTAGTGCTGTTTTCCCATATTTTACGAGTTTTATTCACTTTTTAATTGTGAAATGAGAATGCGAAAGGGGCGCCATCCGGTAGTGACGCCACGGAGTATGGTTTTTGGGGTAAAGAAAAGTTTTCAAGTTAGAATTGTATAGATAAATTCAAAATAATATTTAGTTTAAGATAATCAATTAGGGAGATATCTCAAGCACGATACGATTGTACGATTTCATGGAGGCAAAATGGGTTTTTCGTGTACTCCTACGATTTCATCGGGGTAAAATGGGTATTTACTGACCACATACAATTTCGTTGGGGCAAAATGAGTATTCTGTGAACTTTTACCATTTCATTGGGGCAAAATGGGTATTCTGTGAACTTTTACGATTTCATTGGGGTAAAATCGGTATTTTCTGACCTCATTCGATTTCTTAGGGATGAAATGGGTCTTTTCTGTACTCCTACGATTTCCTGGGGGCTCCTACGATTTCAAGTGGGTTTTTCGTGTACTCCTACGATTCCCTAGCGACAAGATGGGTATTCTGTGAACTTAATAAAAGTTAATAAAACTTAATAAAACTCATCACTACATACATAAATTAGATATCACATGTATATCATCACGATTTGGACCACGGCTATCTTCAAAACTACACCGTGTAGAGATGTGATAACTTCATCCCTGTACTGTATACTGATCCGTTGCGACTGTGATTCATTGAGGAAATACCGGATTTAGGGGACATATCCTACCAGACAGGTAAGTCTTATACTTTTCTTTTAATAATATCATTATGAATCTTTTTCGTAATTTTCGTCTAGGTCACAATGCTTCTGCGTATTAATTATTCATTATTTTCCAAGTCGCCAATTATTATGGGAATTATTATATTCTGGTATTATTATATGAATAATTTTAATAGAAAAACGTACGGCATTACAGGACCGCTAGGGAATGGTGTCGTTATTTTGGCGGTTCTACGGAGAAGTTCCTCCATATTTCCACGCTTTTCCGTGGAATCATTTCTTTTTATTTCCTACAAATAGGAACTAATACCTCATATAAAAAATACCGGGGGGAATAGCAAATATTTACGTTTC